ACAGAATAACAAAACTTATCCAACATTTACAGAATTGTTTATTGTGTGTCAGACATCACTTTAAGTGTTCTGCATATTGTATAGGTTAAGTTCAATCATGAGTAATAAGGACCCCAAATAACAGTGGCTTGAATAAGATAGCTATTTTCTCTCTCTTTCATGTAAAAGTACGGAAATAAGTAGCCAAGGACTGGTATAGTGGCTTTGCTCATTAAGTCTTAAGGGACACAGTTCCTCATTCTTAGGATGTTGTCCTCATCCCTAAAGTCCAAAAAAGCAACTAGAACATCAGACATCACATCCACATTCCAGGCAGCAGACTACAAGGTATAAAAAAAAAAAAGGAGTAGAGTATATGCCAGACTGGCAGTGGCTCTGGCCTGTAATCCCAGTACTTTGGGAGTACTGACTTGAGGTCAGGAGTTCGAAACCAGCCTGGCCAAGATGGCAAAACTCTCTCTACTGAAAATATAAAAATTAGCAGGTTGTGGTGGCACATGCATGGAAGCCCAGCTACTCAGGAGACTGAGGCAAGAGAATTGCTTGAACAGAGGAGGCAGAGGTTGCAGTGAACTGAGATTGTGCCACTGCAATCCAGACTGGGTGACAGAGCAAGACTGTCTCAAAAAAAAAAAAAAAAAAACAAAAGAAAAGAAAAAGAAAAAGAAAAAGAAAAGAAAAAAGTACATGCCAGCTGCCCTTCCCAGGTAGTTGTCAGATAGCATCTGCTTATAATTCATTGGCCAGGCACAGTTATACAACCACACATAGTTGCAAGGGAGTCTGGGAAGTCAAGTCTTTATCCTGGGCAGCCATGTGCACAGCTGAAAACTGGGAGTCTATTATTACAGAAAAGAAGGAAGAGGGTAGTGCAGGATTGCTGACAGCCTCTGTCTCAGATATATCCACTCACTTTATCCTCCAGATAATGCCTGCAGATAGATACTATTCTTACACTTGTTTTGAATATGGGGAAACTGAGCCACAGAAAGGCTAACAACCTTGGCCAAGGTCATACAGCTAGAGTGAACTTAGGGGACCTGCCTCCAGAGCCTGTGTTCTTCGCTGCCTGCCACACAGCTTCCATGGGCACGAGTCTGGCCCTCTCAAGGCCCAGGAACTGCATGCGTATTCCCTAGCTGTGCCTTCAGCCTCTCCTCTCTTTCCAGAAAGCTGTATTCTGTACTCTCCCACTTCCTTCAGGGCCCCAGTTCAGGCTCTGCCTGCTCCTGGTTCTCACGATGTCCTCAACATCTTCCCCACTGTGATACCATTTTATGATGTACAAGGCCTGAGAGGAAGGGCCAAAGACTTTATGCAGCATTGAGGCATTTAAGGAGTGTGACGAAGGGATGTAGGTGAGGGCACCATCACTAAAGCCCCTCCAGTCATGCCTCCCCCTGTCTGCCCTCCACCAAGGGATATGCTTGACAAAGACCGCCACCTATGACTCTGATTCTTTAGACAGGGCCCTGAATGGCTGAGTTAGAAGCTTCAACTCCTTTGGTCTGGAACAGAAACTGGTAGTAGAATTTGCTTAGTGAGGACAATGCTACTATGAAACAGACATGAAATATCATTCTTAGAACACAAAGCAAAAACAATATTCATCAAAGGGAATGATTTTTATTGTTAGACAAAATATCTCTTATCAGAGCACACATAAATCTAGAGAGCAGCTGCATTTTCAGAACAAACAGATGAAATACCTCTTTGGTAACTGCTTAGCCTGGGAAAGCCTCAATTGTTTGCAGAATTGAGTTGAGAAGATCTCCGGAAAGATCAGAGAGCTAGCTTCCTACATCTGCCGGGCTTTTACAGAACAAGTTGCTGAACCTCTTTGTGCCTCAGTTTCCACATGTGCAAAATAAAGAGGCTACATTGGAAGACTTCCAAGATCTTGTCTAGATAGAAAATTCCTTGGTTCTAAAAAGGTGGCTTATGTGCATAAAACAAATAGATGGAAATACAGTATCATCTCCTTGGACTTTGCTCTCGAATCTGTACTTAATACTGGTTATCAAGTATGCACGGCCAGCCTGCTTCTGTGGCATTGCATGATGGCATGTAATGATGGAACAGGACTGACATGTTCACAAAAGCACTTTCTCTGTGGATAGGAGGGGAAAACAGTTCCATTTAGCTGATATCACTAATTTTTAAAGAAAACCATATGAGCTAAAGAGAACTGAAGATGAATGTGGGAGCTATGAGTCAGCCACTGAATTAATTTTACATTATAAATGACACAGTTTTAAAGTTTCTTATATTTTATAATACTTGAAATTTTTCTTTAAAAGAGCACACCCGATACATGCTGACACGTTAAAAAGATTGAACTTTTATTCCCATTCTAAAGCATCTTTAAAACAATGACTGTGCTCTTAGTGATTTTTAATATAAAATACATTTTCTAGCAGTCTTATAAACTGCTAACAGCACTTTTTGTGAAAACTGGCTACTTCACACACACACGCACACAGTTCTTGTTATCTTTGTGAAATTTTTTTCCTTTTTCTCAAATTGTTTTATAACAGATAATGTCGCTTAAAAACATCCAGCATTGGCGGGGCGCAGTGGCTCACACCTGTAATCCCAGCACTTTGGGAGGCCAAGGTGGGTGGATAATGAGGTCAGGTGATCAAGACCATCCTGACCAACATGGTGAAACCCCATCTCTACTAAAAATACAAAAATTAGCCAGGTGTGGTGGCATGTGCCTACAACCTGAGCTACTCAGGGGGCTGAGGCAGGAGAATCGCTTGAACCCAGGAGGCGTTGGTTGCAGTGAGCAGAGATTTCACCATGGCACTCCAGCCTGGAGACAGAGTAAGACTCTGTCTCAAGAAGAAAAAAAAAAAAAATCCAGCATTTCCATGAGAAATGCAATATACAGAAAAGTTCTGGATAAGTGATATTTACATATAGTTCCTTTGATCTTAAATATCTAACTCTTAAATAGCATATATGAGAAATTGTTTTCCTTTACTGTCGTAGATTCAAAGTGGCATCACACATTTTCAGGTAGGGAACTAAAATATAAGACCTAGAGATTATATAAGAAAGATCCATGCTGGCCATCCTTACCTCAAAGCAAACCAAGACCCAGAGGCAGAGAAGAATTTCAAAGCCTGACTTAGAGGATTATGGAAAATAATTATATCAAATCAAAGTTTGGGACAATCTTGGACTATGGAAAGAAGAAAAGAACATTTAGCACATTGTTAAAAATAGATACTCATTCTCTTTTAACCGAAGACAGTTCTTTAACATCTTACATTAGCAACACAGACAGATTGGACCCAGTTTTAGTTCATTCTCTGTCACTTAACCATTCCAGGCCTCAATTTTTTCATCACCAAAATGGGGGTGATATTATTTCCTAGCAGGCTAAGTGTGCAGCTGACAGGAGACAATGCATGTGCAATGCTCTGTAAATCATACGGCACTTCAAACACAGAGGTCTGCTGTTATGGGTCAAGGCTGTCAGGAAAGCTCATGGTTAATGCGAACGACCCGGAAATGACTCGTAGCTGTTTAATACACATGTTTTCGGTATCAAAACTGCAAGCGGGATTCAGTTTGAAAGAGCATTATTAAGAGAAAAAATCTGCTCTGCAGATTCCAACTGTGATGTGGTGCCTGTTTCTTGGCACAGACCTCCCACTTAAACTAATTAAAGTTCCACACAGGTAGAAAACGAATGCTTGACTTGAGATCTGCCATGTGGACCTAAAAGATGGAATTGTCTATGGCTCTTTTATTTTGGTTAAAAGAAAGCAGCATTTGCTTTATTTAAAAAAGAAAAGTAGGGGGAGGGGAATGTATGTGGGTTTGTTTAAATGCTGAAGAAAATTGTGCTAAGCAGCTGGAGGAATAAAAGGGAGGAGCACTAAAGAAAGAATGTGCTAAATCTAAAGATATAAGAACAACACCCAGGAATTGATTGAAAATGCTTTGGTGACAAGTGAGGCATGTAATGACAAGAAAGCAGCATGTGTGCATATTGAGGAGGTGCATGTGGAAAACAGGTTTCTGCTTTTAATTAGCTTTGCCGCTGGGAGGACCTTCTCCCTCCACTTTCTGTCCAGCTCTTCCAGCCCAGAATTCCACTCTGGGTTCTTATGATGTGCTAACGAGGCTGCAGGACAGCTCTGATTGAGTGGGTCAGTAATGCCGGCTCAAGGCCACCTAGAGAAGTGTTCTCTCAGCTTGACAGATGCCCTCTAAAGAAAAACCTGCAAGAACACCAACCTTTTTGATAGTGGCTTAGATGCTTGAAGCCCAATGTCATTCTTTGGGTGAGATAATGATTCTTCTCTGCCTGGCCCACTATGGTCCCTCCTGAAATTTAAAAATTTTCAGCAATATGTTGGAAAGTCTATTTGTTTTTCTTCAATGTCTGTCCTCTTTCTCTCTTGACAGAATCTCGGTTTTTACTGATTGCACAAAATAAAGACATTTCTCAGCCTTCTTTGCAGCCGGAGTGTGTGTATGTATGTGTATATAAGGGGAAGTGCTGGGTGCAACCTCTGGGGAGAGAGTATCCCTATCCTCCTCTTTCCTGTCTAGACCATGCTGATGATGATGGCCATCCCTAGAGATAATGAAGCTAGACGGGAGATACCTGGGTCCTTGACACCATGGACCCACCATACTAGTCTTTGGCTGCAAACTCACACATTGTCATGGAATAGAAATAAACCTCAATATTGCTTAAGGGGTTGATACTTTAGGTCTCTGTTGCACACAGCTGAACCCATAGTCCAACAAATGTTATCTTCTTGACTCTTACCTTCTTACTCTGATGATTATATTCAGAGAATAAATTTAACTTTGTCTATATCTGGGGTAAAAAAAAACACATTTTAAAGGACTCAACAACTCTTCAATAAATCTGGTTCTCTCCAAAAATACTCCAGAATATTCATGTGATTGGAAAACTGGGCTACTTAGTAGAAAAAGAAATTTTTTTTCTTTTTTTTTTTTTTTTTTAATAGGGGATTCTTTGGGAAGATAAGATCTCCAAAATTTAGTCTTCAGTTGCATCTGCAGAATGCACTTAGTACATGTTTAGTCAATTCAATGTTCGTTGGTGAATTTGGCCAGCAAAAGAGAATGTGAATGCACAGTGCATGATGGTGGACTGAGCTTTGGACATCAACAGGGGAATAAAAATCAGTTCAGCTCTTGCTAAAATAGTTTTCCATTGTCTGAATCAGAACTGAGCACAAATGAGTCACCAAAGTTAAAGCTGAAAAACAACTAAGTTGGGCTAAGAGTCCAATATGCCAAAGCCAAGTCTGTTATACACTATTTTATGGAATTATGGGGAGATAAAGAAGGTGTAGAAAAGAATAAGGTGGAAGACTCTATGTTGGGCTTGTGTGTGTATATCTCATGATGTTTTCAAAAGTACATGGAAAACATGAGAAAACTATGCATGTGTTTCAATTTTTTTTTTTTTGCCAAACAAACTCATACTAACTTGTTATAACATGTCTGAATAGGATCTAGTGTGAGGCTCTCAGAAGGATAACACATCAGCTTGAAAAGAGCCCCTATGAGAGCAAATGAATTTTGCTAAAATTGAAGCAAAAACAAATGTATCAAATTTATGTTGACACTTGAGTAAAAGAATGGTGAAATCACTGATGCTTATGAAAACTTTAGGAGTAAAATGCCCCAAAGAAATCAGCAGTTTACAAATGGATAACTTGTTTTAAGAAGCAATGAAATGATGTTGAAGATGAAGCCCATAGTGGCAAACCATCCACATCAATTTGTGAAGAAAAAATTAATCTTGTTCGTGCCCTAGTTGAAGAGGATTGACAATTAACAGCAGAAACAATAGCACCACAGACAACTCAATTGATTCAGCTCACACAATTCTGACTGAAAAAATCAAAGTTGAGCAAATCTTTTACTCAATGTATGCAAAAACCATTACTCCCAGATCATCTGCAGACAAAAACAGAGTTTTCAATGAAAACTGGAAACAAGTAACATCAAGATCCTGAAGCATTTCTTTAAAGTAACAAGAGATGAAATATGGCTTTACCAGTACAATCCTGAAGACAAAGCACAATCAAAGCCATGGCTGCCAAGAGGCATTAAGTGCTCTAGTCAAAGCAAAAGTATACTAGTCAAGAGCAAAGATCATGGCAACAGTTTTGGGGATGATCAAAGCATTTTACTTGTTGACTTTCTGTAGGGCCAACAAATGTTAACATATGCTTATTAGGAGAGTGTTTTGAAAACGTTAGCCAAAGATTTAGCAGAAAAACACCCAGGAAACCTTCACCTGAGATCCTCCTCCACCATGACAATGCTCCTGTTCATTCCTCTCATCAAACAAGAGCAATTTTATGAGAGTTCTGATGTTAGACATCCTCCTTACAGTCCTGATTTGGCTCCTTCTGACTTCTTTTTGTTTCTTTCCTCAGTTAATAATGAAAAAACAAAAAAAAACAAAAAAAACAAAAAGGCAGCATTGACTCGGTTAAATTCCCAGGTCCCTCAGTTCTTTAGGGATGGACTAAATGATGGCCAGTATCATTGCTCACAAAAGTGCCTTGAACTTGATGGAGCTTACACTGAGAAATCAAGTTTTATTTCCGAAGTCTCCTGTGTGTGTATATGTGCATGTACATTCCTAAGCTGGAGTATAACATCACTTTGGATGAAATTCTTTAGATTAAAATTCACTTCCAGGACAAAGAGGTTCACAACTATAGGTCTCAAAAAATATCAGAACAAGAAAGAGGACCAGAGATCTCTCTCTCCAGGTTAAACATCATTCCATTATCAATGAGGTTTAAATGTGGATGCTCAAGCAACTGTATATTCATCTAAACTGAGTAACCACGCAGTCTACATTTCTCCATCATATCCATCATATAATGTGAGGATATTCGCAGTGATTTTGTCACATGTAGGGTTAAACTCCATTGCCAGCACCCCTCAATGTACCCGAACAGGCACAGTCTACTTTTCCTGATTCCTTTTTAAATCTCACAAATTACCTTTTAAAATAATCATTGTGTAATTTTTCCCAGGAAACATTCAATTTTATTAGCTGGTAGTGTCCGTGAGTCACCTTTTGGACAACTGGGTTGACATTTCCTTGATTCCTGTCTTTTGGCCACTCTCATTTATCATAAGTTTTAAGGACTTATGGCTATGCAACTTTATCTGCCTATCTTTTCAGTGCCCCAAAAGCAAATTTTTAGGGCTTAGACACACATTTTTGTGTTCTCTTTTAACCATGTTTGTTTCATCCTTTCTAATTTTGAGAAATGAGAACACCACCTTTCATGAAGAAGAAATAGAAAGTAGGAGTTATTTGTTGATGTGAAAGGATAAGATGTATCACATGGAATAGAGCCTTTTTTAAAGTGTTATTTTTCTAAAGTTTAAACAGCAGTAGTTCTCAACCCGGGCCACACATCAGAACCACATGGAAAGCTTACAACAAGACAAAAACAAACAAACAAGCAAACAATCATGCCCATCCCCACTCCAGAGTTCCTGATTTAATTGGTCTGGGGTGGGGCATGGGCATGTGTGTTTTTAAAAGTTCTCCAGGAGATTTTAACATGCAGGGTTGAGAATTACTGCAAATCTAACCATTAGAAAAGTATAACCTTTCTTTTTTTAAAGGCCTGACTTCCATAGGAAATCTTGTCTGTTGTCCCATGAGTTACATTGCAGCAAAGCTTTGATAAAAAGGGATTTTCAGGCTGTAAGCCCATATACTCATGGAAGCTCTGAGCAACAAGAGGTGTTATTTGACTTAGCTCAGTGGTTCTAAAATTCTAATTTTGGATAGAATCACTTGAAGAATATATTGAAAATGCTGATTTCTGAAGCTCCCTTCCTGCCCTCCTGAAGGTTCTAAATTGCTTGGGATGTAGGTAATGGGAGAGGTACCAGCACCTACATTTGTAACAGGCAGGCGGGCCAAGCAGTTCTAATGCTGCTGTCTCACTCTGAAGACCACAGCCTTACCCAATGGGACACACAGCCTTGAAAAGCATGGAGGACTACACCTTGAGCAAGATCTGAAATACTGTAAGTAAAGCTTTTCAGTCTTGGGCTTGAATGGGCAATAACCTCACAGACCAGGGCTGGCTTAGAGTTCAGGTCTATATCTTGACCAGCAGATCTAAAAGGAATATCTTATTCTGGGTCAGAAAAACAGATGCTGACAAAGCTGTCTTTTCTGATGTTCCCAGCATTTCTGGGGTCTTTCTTTACCAATCCCTCCCAACTGCAGTGTTCTGTTCATTTCTTGTCAGCTGTTGTCTTTACATTACTCCCTTTAAAATTTTTAATCTCCAAATATAACTTCTCCTTATATTGACCATTACACATTTGAAAGCCTCAGCTTTTCAGGAGTTGGCCTTCCATCCAATTCCTAGCAGCTGGTGCTGTTCAGGTACCCTGTGAGTGCCTCTCGTCTGTCGGAGAGCTCAATGCAATTCCAGGCCTTGCGAGGTACCTGAGCTACTTCTTTCTCACAATGATTATAAGTGATGGTGTGACAGAACTGTTTTTTACGGCTCCATTCCTCTTACACCATATTCCCTCTAGTTTCTGGCCATGGAATCATACCTATAATTTTCTCAACTTTGCACAATCTATCTCACTAAAGTTAAGTCTCCTGGACCCCGGTGCCTGACTCCATTCTACCTTGGAGTGTGTTGCCTGATTACCCAGGGTCTCCCTGCTAGAATCTGGGTATAGCTTTGGCTCTTTTCTGAGTTTTCACACCACGTTTTTACTAGTCACAATATATCTTTTACATGTAATTGTAAACTCTACAATGATACAATTTTCCTTCTTGGTGAGAATTAGATAGTAGACTCTCATTTTTTTTCATTCAGTTTCTCAGATATGAAATTGTCAAGTCAACAATTTGCCAAATGCACTTTCTGACCAGACTGAACATTCTAATAAAGGCCTAGGGAGCTGAAAAACATTTTTACTACATCTTGCCTGTCTTAGTTTGAGACTGGGGTTAGGAAACATGGCCTACGGATGGTAGTGGCTTGTGGTTCCTGGTTTTAAACTGCTCCCATGATAGAATCACCTGAGTCTCTCTCATCTCCACACAAATATTCTCCACCACGCTTCTTCATGCAGGCTTCTGGTTCTGTGTACTTTCAAATATTTTGGACATACACTGCTCCTCTGCTATCCTTTCTCTCAGGCCTTCCACATTCTAGTCCTGAGCCCTGTGCTTCAGGGGTATCTAGGAAATCCTGATTTCTTCCAGGTATTAACATCTCAAGTTCCTTTGCTTCATATTCACACTTGAAATCAGATATAACATTCCTTACTTTTTCCTCCTGTTATTTTTGCATGCAAATTAAGAGATTCTCCAATTGCTTTGTGTCACAGGTTTTCTTACAAGTAACAGGGTTTACAGTTTCACCTGAGCATTTTTTCCACCCTCTTAAATTGCAGTTTAAGGTCTTCTTGGTGAGGTTACCGAATCTCTGGCAAGCATATATTCTTTCCAGTCTTCACAGGGCAAGCTTTGGCCCTTGCTAGGAGTCCATCATTCTGCCATGACATTTGCTCCCAGGTCATCTGCTTGCAAGAGGCAATCAAGAGTTTGGGAAACCCTTGCAAAAGAAATGACAATAGTTTATTTTTGGCTCCTGACATTTTGTGCTCCTAATACCCAGTTATCCTTTCTGCCCCACAGTCAGGATGCCTTAATTGGCAGTAAATGGTGTGGCTATAACCCAGAAACAGACATTGTTACTTGTTTCAGCATTGGTCTTAATGTCCCTGAGCCCTAACTGCTGACCTTGTCCTCCCTGTAGCTGTGGCCATCATTAACTGAGGGGACAGAAGTCCTCTGCCTCCTACTGTAATGGTTTTTTTATTGAACTCCTCAAAGGCTGTTATCATTCAGCATTCTTTGGATTCATTACCTCCTATCTAGGTCAGAAGATGTCTAAGTGACACCACCCAGGTCCAACCTCCAAGGGTTTCCACATGCTGATAGAAAACCTGTCTCCCAGTCACTCAACGTCCTGACTGAGAAGGAGGCCCTGCTAACCTGGGCCTTCTCCATTCCCATGGCTGGGAATAGCTTTTGTTCTTCCTTTTTTTTGAGTCTAATCCTGGCAAAGAGGATGAAAATTATTAGTCCAAATGTTCTTTTTACAACAACTTCTTTCTTAAACAAATCTCTGCCTATAATCCCAGCACTTTGGGAGGCTGAGGAGGGCAGATCACCTGGGTCAGGAGTTTGAGACCAGCCTGACCAACATGGAGGAACCCCATCTCTATTAGAAATAGAAAATTAGCCAGGCATGGTGGAGCACACCTGTAATCCCAGCTACTTGGGAGGCTGAGGCAGAATGGCTTGAACCCAGGAGGTGTCAGTTGCGGTGAGCAGAGATCACGTCATTGTACTCCAGCCTGAGCAACAACAGAGAAACTCCATCTCAAAAAAGAAAAAAAAAAAAAAGAGAAAACGTAGGATTCCCTTCCAGCGATCACTTCTGCCTCTAGTGATTAATCATCTCTCAGTTGCTTTTCACAACAAAACTCTCGCTTGCCCTCCCCTCAAGGTCATTTAACTGAGTGCTCCCCCAGAAACACCCTTCCCCTGCTGCTTCTCTCCTTTCTTGCCTCCTATTCCTCTACTTAACCTCTCAATGCAGGGGCTCCTCAGGGTTTGGTATTGAGCCCTCAGTTTTCTATCTATAATCCTTTCCCAAGTGATCACAACCCTAAAACTTTAAATACTTTCTACATGTTGACAACTCTGGAATTTATTATCCCTAGCCCAACCTCCCTCCCAGAATCACATATGCTTCTGGACATATGTGCTTCAAGTACGAGTACCTGACACTGCCATTTGGCCAATGGCCATCCCAAACTTATATCCAAAACTGAGTTCTTAATTTCCTAGCGCATTCCTCTCAGATCTGTTCCTTCTCCCATGTTCTCTATCATCTCAGTATATGGCCTATCTACCCAGCTGATTAGAACAGAGACCTGAGAGGCATCTTTGATTCCTCTTTTTCTTTCATCCCATACACAGAAGCCATCAGCAGGCTCCAAGTTTTCAACATCTTCCACTTGGATTACTGTGATTACAGATGACTCCTCATCTGTCTCCTACCACCACGCACACCACATGCTACCTTCCAAATGATCCTCACACAGCAGGGAGCCTGCTCTTCACAGAACGTAAATCTGATCACGCTGCGCTCTTGCTCAGGACATTTTCCGCTCTTCCCGTCACATTTAAATAGAGTCCAAAATCCTCACCATAACTGACGAAGCCTTGCCGAATTTGGCTCCTGCTCTGCTCTAAACCTGATCCCATGCCATCTGGTCCCCTGGAGTTTTCCCTTCACTCTGGCACTTGGGCCCTCTTTCCTACCTCAAGGGCTCTGTACCTGCTTTCCTAAGCCTGCAGAGCTAAGCATACCTGTCCTCATAAGAGGAATGTGATAACCACCTGTGTAGAGGAGGATACACCTGCTGGGCTTTTCCATGGTGCCCTGTGTCGGCCTTTGCAGACTATACACTGCACGAGGCAGGACCCCTTCTATCATGTTCAGGGTTGCATCCCTAGTACCTGGCACCTAGGTGATCAGTACTGAATGAATATCTAGATATGGGTTTTTTGCACATTGGATTCCTAAGGATCTACCTTCATATGCCACAGTTCCCAAAAATGATATTCAAATTGGGGTCTGCAGCTCTCAGTATGCTATTTAGCTCTCTCTCCATGTGACGGCCAGCTGTGGGAGGCTGGCCCCTTCAGACCTACCACTGTCTTTATGCTGAGCCACACCCTGTCCAGGGCCCTGCCCTCTCCCCAGCTACTGACCTAGCACTGGGGGTATAGTAGTGGCCCATCCCAGCCCTGCAAGGGATCCTTCTCTTGGGCAACTTTTGCCTGAGGGCACCATGGGCTGGTCACTGGCTTTCTCAGAACTGTGCCGCAATCGGAGGCATTTCCTACCCAGCTCCTCCTTCCTTCTCCCTTTCTCCCCTCACAGGTACGAGACCTGCATTAGGGTGTGAAGCCTGTCCTGGACTACTCCTGCCGCCTCCGCCTTTATCTTTCCAAAGTATCCCCTAATCTACTAGACTTCTAATCCAGCTGAGGCAACAGCTTCCCAGGGGCGCTTCTGAACCTTGAAATATCAGTACCATAAAACATGGTCCAGAAAAGCTAACTTTTATTTGATAGTATGTATAAAACCATCTGCTCATTTCCCATACCTCTTCCAGACATGACCTTCAACTGGATTAAACAGAAAAAACAAAAAAACAAACCAAAAAACCACCTGTGCCCCAGAGCCTTTAGGTTATCACTCAGGGGTCTGATCACTAGAAATACATTCCAGAAGTCATTTAACATGTGTTCCTACCGGAGTCAGCAGAATGGGTAACCAAGGACACACAGCACATTCTGGCAATTCTTGGGCCCATGCTCCAGAAAGACAGCTTTAAGTTCATACTCAGGCATATAAATAGCCAGTCATCAACCGCTACCAGTTGTCTTGGTACTAGTGACATAATCTTGTAGCTGCTGGTGACTAGAAAGTGTCATTAATTTTGTGGAGAATAAAACCTTCTCTCTTCATCAGAGGGGAAACTGCATTCTAATTTTGTAACTTGTGTGATGTGGTACTTCCCCGCTTCTCTGACTGAAAATCAGTATTTATTCCTGTTCTGCATAAGTGCCATGAATACCAAAACCATCATCTATTTTGTTCACTGTTATAACCCACGGAATGTACTCTGTAATTATTTGTTGAGCAAATTGTCATATAGATGCTTTCATATTATCTCACTTTAGCCTCAAAACAACGCTGGGAGGTGTGTACTATCTTCATTTTACTGGAACTCAGAAAGATCAAGTGACTTTTCCAAGGTCACTTGGTACTCTCCAATAATTCAGACAGCAAATATTCAAGCAGCATATCTGCCAGGGTCAGAAAATTCACTTGCTTACTGTTTGGCTAACATTAATTGAATACTCTTTTTGGTCCCCAATCTTTTTGGCAACAGGGATGAGATTTGTGGAAAACAATTTTTCCATGGACAGGTTTGGGGGTGTGTGGTTTCAGTATGATTCAGGCACATTACATTTATTGTGCACCTTATATTATTACATTGTAATATATAATGAAATAATTATACAACTCACCATAATGTATTAATAGAATCAGTGGGAGCCCTGAGCTTGTTTTCCTGCAACTAGACAGTCCCACCTGAGGGTGATGGGAGACAATGACAGATCATTAGGCATTAGATTCTTATAAGGAGTGTGCAGCCCAGATCCCTCGCATGCACAGTTCACAATAGGGTTCGCGCTCCTATGAGAGTCTAATGCCGCCACTGATCTGACAGGAGGTGGCGCTCAGGCAGTGATGCGAGTGAGGGGGAGTATCTGTAAATACAGATGAATCTTCACTTGCTCGCCTGCCCACCCTCACCTCCTGCTGTGCAGCCTGGTTCCTAACAGGCCAAGGACCAGTGAGGTGGGGGGAGGGGACCCTGCTCTAAGCACTTAATGTTTTTACCACATTTAAGAGAGAGTTAACTATTACTACCACCCTTACTTTACAAATGATGAAACAAATTTGGACAGGTAGAGTGACTTGCCTTAAGGCCATACAGGGAAGGGGTAGGACTGAAACCGAAATACAGGTCTCATTCAAAGTCATGCTCTAAACTCTTACTCCATTTGGCTTTTTTTCCAACAACAGAACACAATCATTCCTCCTACCATTTTTTTTTTTTTTTTGACAGAGTGATGGAGTCTCATTTTGTTGCCCAGGCTGGAGTACAGTGGTATAATCTCGGCTCACTACAACCTCCATCTCCCGGGTTCAAGAGATTCTCCTGCCTCGGCCTCCTGAATGGCTAGGATTACAGGTCTGCACCATGAGGCCTGGCTAATTTTTGTCTTTTTAGTAGAGACTGGGTTTCGCTGGGTTGGCCAAACTGGTCTCGAACTCGTAACCTCAAGCCATCCGTTGGTCTTAGCCTCCCAAAGTGCTGGGATTATAGGCATGAGCCACTATGCCTGGCCTAAACATTTCTTTTAATAAAGAAAAACAGAGTATCATCTTTGAGAGACTAATGAAAAGTCAATAAAATAAATAGGGTGGAAATATAAATCACAGAGCAGAATTGTATTTTACATTTCATAAAAAAAAAAAAAGCAGCTGGGTGCTGTGACTCACGCCTGTTATCCCAGCACTTTGGGAGGCCGAGGTGGGTGGCTCATGAGGTCAAGAGATTAAGAACATCCTGGCCAACATGGTGAAACCCCGTCTCTCCTAAAAATACAAAAATTAGCTGGGCGTTATGGCACATGCCTGTAGTCACAGCTACTTGGGAGGCTGAAGCAGGAGAATCACTTGAACCCGAGAGGTGGAGGCTGCAGTGAGCTGAGATCATGCCACTGCACTCTAGCCTGGTGACAAGAGCAAGACTGTATTTAAAAAAGAAAAAAAAAAAGAAAAGAAAAGAAAAAGGAAAGCAATGGCAACAAAAGCCAAAATTGCAAAATTGACAAATGGGATCTAATTCAACTAAAGAGCTTCTGCACAGCAAAAGAAACTATCATCAGAGTGAA